GCTCGGGCGGCGGCGGCAGCAGCAGCGCGAGCAGCGGCGGCGGCAGCAGCGGAGCCAGGCACCAGCCTGCAATCCCATTAGTGAGCCGCGGCCACTGTGCGCGGCGGAGAGGAGCTTTGATGTGCGCGCAGCGAGCTGGGGGGGCCGCGAGCGCTAGGAGGAGGTGCGGGGGGCGTGCGAGGGACTTGCAAACAGCAAAACGTGTCAGGGTGGGGCCTTTTTTCCCTTTTGGGGGGCGGTGGTGCTCCCCCCTCTTTCCAGGATGTTGCTCTCACTGGCTGCTCCGGCTGCGCCGCGCGAGCCCAGCTGAGGGAAGAAGGGGAGGGGGTGGTGGAGGAAGGATGCACCGGGAGGCTTGGCTAGGACTTGGCCGGTGCAAGGGAATGACGGGCAGCGGAGGGTGCATTTCTTTCCCGCCCCCCTCCACGCACGCACACACACACACACACACACATACACACACACACACAGGCCGCGCACTTCCGACCCAAAGTGCAAGACTGAGGCGCGCTCTCCCCCCTCCTTTCTCTAGAGAAATCACCACCATCCAAGCAGGCTCGCGCCTCCCGCGGCTTCCAGCAACCTGGACTCAAGCCCGCCCGCGTGTGCAGGAATGGGGGCTCAGAGCCTACTCCTAGCCGGGACTCCTCTTTACCGCTCTTCTGCACACCAGGCAGCGCGAGGGTTGCCAAGCGCAAGTTAGGCTCCTCGAGAACTTGATACTTGTCGAGGAGGGATGGTGTGCAAAGGCGGAGGGGAAAAAAGAAGCCCCTTTTGTGCAATGGAGAGTTTGTTCCTTTATAAGAATGGGCTCTTCCCGCTCCTGGTGGGAGGGCGGGTTGGTCCTGGACAAACTTGTGAGGTGGAGACTGTACGTCTGGCTAGAGGGATCCGGGTGTGCCCCGGTGACCCTCCTCTATACGCCCCTTTAGACCGATGAAACGAATAAATTAACAGCCACAATTGAGACGAACTCTGCAAATTCCAACCACCAGGGAAACAAAAAGAGAAAACACGTGCATTTATTTCCTCTCTTCTCCCAGTTACTTCTCCACATTGTTACATCAGCGTTTCTTTAGGGGGTGAGGAGGGATGTTTGTGGTTTGGGTGCGCCGTTTGAAGTGATGACTGCACTCCTTCTCGCTCTGCTAGTGGGTGCGGGCGGTGGGAATGGATCGGTTCCCCCAGCCCTGACCAGGACACCCCCTTGCCCCACTTCCTCCCCTTTCTTCCGGCTCGAGAGCCTGGCGCGCAGTTGCGGGCGGTGGGCGCAGTCCCTACGGGATGCAAGGTTCGGGCTCCCCTCCTCTGGCGCGCCCCGACCCCCGCCCCGCTTTGCTGGTGCTGCTGGTGCGTTCCCCTTCTCTTTCTCTCCTCCTTTCCACTCCCCGCGAACCAAGGCCCGGGGCGGGAGCCGGGGGACGAGTGGCCTCCGCGCCCTCCGCACGAACCCAAGTTGGGCTTGGCGAAGCGTGGCGACCGCGGCCGCGCCGCCCCGGCCCTCGGCCAATAGCGCCTCGCCGGCGAGGCACCTGCTTAACCCTTTGAGCCTGGGGCGCAGCCGGCCCGCCGGCACCCAGAGGGGCAGAACGGATTGGCCAGAAGTTGCCAAGGCCGAGAGTGGCAGAGGCCGCCCAGTCCAGCGTCCCCGCACAAGGTCTAGGGGGCAGACGCCTACCCTCGCAGCAAACCCGGGCGTCCCCTCCCACTCTGATGGCTCTTGGAAAACAGCCAAGCCGCACAAAGGCGAGTCCTCGCCCCGGCGGCGTCCCGCGCCTGCCGAGGCAACCTCTGAGCTCCCTTAACCCAAGTCAGTTTCCGGAGGAGCCTCCCGCGCCCCGCAGCCGCAGGGAAACAGCGGGAGGGAGCCCCAGCTCTCGCTGGCCGGGCCCACGGCGCAGCTGCGTTTCCATTTTCCTCTCAAAGAAAATGCTTTGGACGGCAGATAATACCAAGAGATATGAAACTGCTTCGTCCGCCACGTGTTGCACGTAAAAAGAATCGTAATGAGCATCTGTGGCTTGTGCGAGAGACCCCACGAGTTAGTTGAAGACCTAACCGAGGTCCTGACTCCCTCCTTCCCTGGAAGGACTCATTTTCCAGCTTAATGGCATTCATTTCGGGGATACTTTTTCAGAGGCCAAACGCAAGGCTGTTGGATGGGGGGTGGGAGAGTAGGGTGCGGGGCTGGGTTGGTGGAGAGCCGTCTTGTAAGGATCCGATCACAGAAATGGGTCCTCGTCCCACTGGGAGCAGACAGCGGCTAGACATCGCAGTGGATGGATCTGTGCGTTCTCCGCCCCCTCCTCCTCAGGGCGGGATCTGAAGGGATCTCAAATACCACTCCTTGGCTCTGCGTAGGCTTTCCTGTGGAAAGAAATGGGAGATCATGCTAATTCTAGAGAGGTCGTGAATGTTTCAGGGGTTGGTTGGGCAAAGTCCTCTCTGTCTGCATCTGTCAAGGCCGGCAGTATTGTAGGCCGAAGGAAGCCTGCTAAATGGCTGATGAATGAGGCTAGAAATGAACACCGATGCAGGCAGTGGCTTTCTATGAAATAGCACTTGTCTGAGTATTGGCCCGTTGTGAGACGGTGCTGTGCCTGCCACCGATGTCTAGGCCAACCAGCTGATGGAGGCTCCCAGCACGTGGCTCCTGCCTCCTTGTATACTTGACTCCAGTAATTAATGCAATATTCCAAGTTAGATCCTGCTGATCCAGAGGCAGCCCCAATGTACCCAGTGCAGCCGGCCGGGGTGGGCGGCAGGGAGGGGGGGTGTACCTTTGGCCAAAAGAGCATAATTTTTAGAAAATCAGTTTCTCTTTTAAAGTCTTTCTGCACAATCGACAATGAGATATATTTACAAAAAATCACCGCTCTTTAATCGTTTCAATACCAATTCTGTGACTAGAAGAGGCCAGCAATTCCATTTTATTTACTGCTTATTTTACAGAATAGTTTGTCTGTAAATGTGTCATCCTGTTTCTCTTCCCTTTTGGAGGAAAAAATTTTCATGGAAGCCCAAGGGGCAAAATTGTCCCAATAGAAAGAATATGTGAGATCTGTTGTTAGATATTTAAAACCAAATAAGCTGAAACCTCTTCAATTATATTTTATACTATTAAAATAGTTCAATGAGCACATTCAACTTGAAAGTTCGAAGCTTTCAATTTATCCCTATTTAAGAGAATTTTAAGAGTTCCTGCCCTTCAGAAACTTTCTTTTCTAAAACAGGACTATACAAAGTATTCAAAGAAGACTTGCACAGTAGGTTACCTTAGAATGCACATGTTCAGTCTGTTTCAGTATTTTATCCTCACATGTGTAGTTTCAGAAGGTCGGTTTGCATGCATGAGAGACATATTCCTTATTGGATCTGCTTATCTGCATGTTCATTAAGGACCTTAAGCAAAATATAAGTTTATTCTCTCATTAGTAATTCAGATTTCAGTACTCTGCTCCTTCAGTTAAAATCTTTACATGCTGGCAGCTGTTTTGAAATATCTTGAAAGTTGTTTTGGCATTCACCCAACCAAAAGGCTTCAGTTAGCACTAAACTGTATACTTTCTCATTTTATAGCCACCCCAATCTACATATTAGTGCATGTAAAGATATAAAAAAGAATTGTATAATGTTTTAACCCTGAATACATGCATATGATGTATACACAACTATCACAATTACATATTTACATCTTTATCCTTGTTGTCAGTGTACAACTGTGCCTTTTGCTCATATGATAATATCTACTCTCTGGAAATTCATTTCCATTTACTTAAATGGTTCGGCTTTGAATTTTCACTATTTGCTGTCAGAAGCTTCCAATGACAGGTAGGAGAGAGGAAACAACAAATCCTGATTGTATCTAATTTTTGCTTTACTTTTGTCAGATATTTAGGAAGAAAATAAAATAGTGTAGAGAGATCAAGATATGGTAAAGCAAAACAGAAAATAAATAGAATGAAAATACTATGTGTAATGAATAAAGGTAAGAAATGCTTTACTCGGAAATGCAGGATGTTTTTACTGAAATTATTTTGCTGCAATAAGAATTTTTTTTTCTGTAAAGAAACTCATGCGATAATTTACAACAACCTAAGAGACAAGTCTTCATTGTAGGAAGAGCCATGAGCTAATATTATGGTCTCTCCATATCCTGGGAGGGAGATTTCACATTCTGTAGAGGAGTTAAACATTTGATTTAACCTATTTTCCATCTTCACTCTTCAATCCAAATTGAATTCAAGCTCTTACTGCTAAATTTTCTATGCTATTCATACGTCCTCTAGTCCATTCAAAAGCAAAACAATAATGTCAGGGGAGTCTTCACTCTTCAATCCAAATTGAATTCAAGCTCTTACTGCTAAATTTTCTATGCTATTCATATGTCCTCTAGTCCATTCAAAAGCAAAACAATAATGTCAGGGGAGTAAAAAAAAAATAACATAAACTTAGCAGTACAGTCTTTTTTGATATTCCAGAAGAGAAGCTAAGGAATTAAGAAAGAATATCAAATAAATCATTATTTATAATATATGTATGTCCATATATAATATATAAGAAGAGTTCTGAGGAATTTTTATATTAATGCTATATATATCAAACACTGAAATACCTCAAGCTATTATGCTAAACTAATTCTCAGAGGACTTTATACATATATAGGTAGAAAGAAAAGAGGTTTAGTTAGAAGAGAGGAAAATTCTTTAGCTATATTTTTAATTCAGTAGCAGACAGTAGGAGGAGGAATTGTTTAGAAAAATTAGTATGGGTAAAGAAGGGTCTCAGAAATCCACATGATTTTTTTTAGTTAAAATATTCACATATGTGGCACATATTATTCCAAAGCATGTGCAAATTAATAGACTCTAACTAAAAATAAACTTAGATTTAAATGCAAAGTAACTAAATACTCTCAACATATTTGGAAGGTAAATTTTTCTTTAGACAATAATCTTCAAAGTTGCTTTTACTTATTTTTTCATGACAGTGGATTTGATTTTGGAGTTGAAAAATTTCTAATTTTTAGGGAAATGATTTTAAACCTACCAGAGATTATATGAGTCCCAAATGTTGGTTCTATTTTGCTTCTTCTGTTACTGACTGCATAACTTGAATTTTCATGGAGCCACAAAGATGTGAGTTGCACTTGCACCATGGACCTAGCAGCACATGCTAGTTTTTATTTCAGCAAAAATTATAAACAGTGCTAACTGCAACTTTCATTTCTCTTTGACTTGGTTCCTGCAGGTAGGCATAGCCATGTAGCCAATAGACTCTTTTCTTCACTCAATTTTCTTATTAATTGTAAAATTATTAATTCAGTGCCTGATTGAAGGAGTAGCTAATTGCTTTGCATTGAGATATTTTTTCAAGATGAAAACAATCATAATCGATGAGTTCTTATATGAATTTTTCATTTTCAATAGGATAGGATACTGTATAAACCTAATCATACAGCAAATCAAACAAATGGTTTTATTAAGCTCCATGCTGAGTCAACCATTGTTTTTATTAACTGTATATCCCTTCACCTAGAAGGATGGTTCTCAGATTTTGGGGTCCATCAGAATTACAAGAAGGGCTTATTGAAGTACAAATTTGGAGGCCTTACCTCTGCAGGATCGTATTCTGTAAATCTAGGGTAAGGCCAATAATTTGCATTTCTAACAAGTTCCTAGGTGATGCTGATGCCTGATGCCGTTAGTACAGGCACCATATTTGGGAGCCACTAACCTAGAGTTTTTATGACAGAAGATCCGGACTTTGTTACACACACTGGCTGAGTGATCAAGGGCAAGTTATTTAAGCTCTCTTGGCTTCAGCAACCTGATATTAACTCAATTCAACAAAACTGAATTTGTCCCATGTGGGGGAATTCAGAAACAGTTCCTTTAGTTTATTAGCAGCGGTAGGTATGTAAATAAATAAATTGCAATAAAGTATCCTAAGAGGAACAATAGATTTATGTAAAAGTCATCCATGTGGCACAAGGGAATGGGAGATCAACCAGATGAGAAAAGTAATGAAACGTGGCCAAGAGCATGAGTGAGAATCACGCACCTGGGGGTAAATATGGTTCTGCCATTTACAAGTTGAGTGACTTCAAGCAATTTTTTTACTTTCTCCAAGCCTCGGTTTCTTTATTTGTGGAACTAATAATATAGTTCTCAAAAGATGGTAGTAGAATTAATTGATATAAAATGTGTAAAGTAGTACAGTGTCCAACTCGTGTTAACTACTCAATGAAAGGTAACCATTCCCATGAGAACAATCTCTGAGTTCTCTTCTGAGTTCTCTCCTGTGGAGATGGAAAAGGTCTTGATGATTACCCAGACAAGTTATAAAATACTTACATGTTCCACTTATGAATGTCAGCACGTCTAAACAGTTATTTATTCTAAACTCTGTAACAATATACCTAGAATTGTGAGTGACTAACTTTTTGATCAAAGTCCAGAAAGATACCAGATAAAAGTATTGCAAGTGTTCCCTGAATTTGTGAGCACTTTTCTGGAGGCTTGAAGTTCTGCTTTACTCAAAAGTCAGTAAACTTCTGACATCAGTCATATACAGGAAGTATTAGAGGCATAAAATAAAATAGCTTCACAAATTAGAAAATACAATTTGGATAACGGATACCCTATTGTTATTATTGGGATTAAGGATATTTGGGTTTTATTCCAAATATTTTGAATCAATGAAGGTAATGATAACTGTGATCTTTCACTAGAGAATCCCTTAGTGCAATAACTCACAAACATTTTTGTTTCAAGTCCTCTTTAACTTTAAAAAACTTTGCACCCCTACAAGAGATTTGGGATATGTACATCACATTTATCAATATTTGCTGTATTCAAAGTTAAAACATAAGTATAAAAATTCCTTATTTATGAGTTTATTTAAAAATAACAATGATAAGCTCATTACATAAAATAAGTAACATTTTTTATTTTTAGGAAATCTTACCCAAAACAGAAAAATAGAAGTGATAT